GTCTTCGACACAGACGATAGCGAACTACACCTCATGGGTCCAGTGATTTGCCTCTGCGAACTCACTCCCTCACCGCGTGATCATGATCCGATCTATACATACAACAGACGCGTGTTGCTATATTACGAGTGCCGCGGCACCCTGCGCGGGGTGGGGGTGGGAGCGAGGAAGAGCGTCGAGTCTGTTGTTGCTACTGTCGGGAACTCGGTGGCTTCAGGGAGGCGGGGGGTCGCGCCTGGTTGGGGTGCGGGAGGGTGTTGTTGTGGGGAGGAGGGTTCGCGTTGGGGTTGGGTTGGGGGAGGGTTGGTAGGGGGAAGAGGTGGTCGTGGTGGTTGTTGGGGGGTGGTGGTTGTTGTTGTTGGGTTCTGCTGCGGTTTGCGGAGTTACGCCGGAGGCTTTGGCGGCGTTGATGGGGGATTTGGTGTAAACTTGGATTGGAGCCATCGTGAAGGTGTTTGAATGATCGGATTTGATCGCGTTGAGAAGGGATGATGGTGGCTTTGACAACGAATTGATAGAGTTGAGTTATCAACGTGGGTTCGGGTGGTAGAGAATGGAGTAGAATGAGGAAATTCTGGCTCTTTCTGCTGACTCTAGGTACGGTTTTGTGCCGATGGCTGTTCTTCTTTCAAATCAATCACCGAAGGTGTCAGGTGTTAGGTGTTCGTTCGCTGACTGCCTGCCGCTCAAGCTGGCATGTGGTGTAAGTGGCGACGTCATTGGCAGGTGGCTTCGAAATGGTGCCAGCTGTAACATCCTTTCGACATCCCATTCAATCCCTCTCTCCTTCAACAAAAGCTTAGCAAAACTCTGTCTTGGGAACCCCAAAGGAGCGCTTTTGGCAATGCTAGTGAGACGGTTTCAAGACTTTATCTGCTAACATCTTCGTCTCATGTTTCTTGACAGAATGCCGCGAATGGGCGATGCTTCATTCATGGTGCGCTTGCCAATGATGCCAAGAACACTAACTATGAAATGGGCTTAGTGGCTTGGCTCCCTGCCTGCCGCCGCGCTGACAGGGGGATTGTGAACGTTGCGGGACGATCTCGAGGGTTGGAGAGTTGAGCTGATGCGCATCAACAAATCCGGTGCAGAGGCCAGGGACTGGCGGCACACGGTAAATCAAAAAACCATAACCTTCTTTCAAAGGCTCCCACAAACGAGAATCCGATTCCACACGGCCAAGCCAAACATACACCAATTGCCTTACCATCTCCCTGAGAAATCAAACCGAGTTCCATCAACACCACGAACATTGAACTTCAAAATCCGACCCCGACTTTTCCCACAGTTCTATATCTTGATATCTCGACAACCTCCATCGAACGCAGCTGCGCATTTACACCAAACACATCCATCTTTATCTGGGGTAGTTGCCACAGGCACGTTCAAAGATGGGTGGGCAAAGTCAGCGACCGGCGGTCCCTCCTTCGGGGAAGGGTTTGTGTTTCCTCGACATCGCCCAAAGAAGGCCATTTGCTACAAGGAGTCATTGCTAACTGGTATTTTGTTAGGGCTTGAGCGGACCGACAATGGCATGAAGCAAACCAGCTGGCCCGATGTGATCCCGATTAACCAAAAAAACTACTATACGTAAGGGCGCGTTGTCTCCATGGGGCTGGCTAGGAGGGACTAATAAAGGTTAATAGGGATTATATGAAGCGCGATGACCAGTTCCTCTCCTTCCGACTGCAAAATGAGGCGAATAGGGACCGACTAGTTCAGACCGCAAAAGACCGAGACCGTGCCATGAACACCGCTAATGCCAACGGCGAAGTCCCTCTTCCCGTCGACGACCTTCAGGGGGAGGAAGGGCCGGCCCCTTCATCGACCTTCATGGACCCTTCCAAGATTATCGTAATACACCCAGGGAGCCAGAACCTGCGCATCGGGTTTGCCAGCGACGCCCTCCCAAAGACGGTCCCCATGACCCTCGCCACCAAGTACCCCCAGACCGAATCCGAGATACACGAGGCCCTACCACGGCGCCAATTCGAGGCCAGGACAGTGGACCAACAATATGGGGAGGAGTGGTCCAAGAAATACCAAAAGATGTCTAATGATCTCAAAGTCGACATGCGCGCCAACAAGCGCAAGGTGCTTCCGAACTCGAAAGACTTGGTAGTCAACTTCAACCGCCGGACCGAGCCCGAGGTCATCTCCCAACACAACGACCCTCTGCAGATTGAGTGGACGGATATTGAGGCTCCCCGGGAAACCGAATCGACCTCATCTGTCTTCATCGGGCAACAAGCCCTGCGCGTCCCGGATGACTCAGATCCCAAGTTCAGGCTATGGTGGCCGATCCAGCATGGTTGGCTGAACGAGGACGACTACCCGTCAAGGGCGCAACTGTTCAACGATCTCGAGACTCTACTGGACCGAACCTTTCGGTGGGAGCTGGGCCTCAAGCGGAAGGCCGATTGGAAGCAGTACAGCTGTGTCATCATCATCCCGGACCTCTACGACAAGCGCTACGTCGAGCTGCTGTTGCACCTTTGCATCGAGCTCTTCGAATTCAGCCGCGTCTCTTTCATCCAGGAGAGCATGGGCGCGACGTTCGGGGCGGGATACACACAGGCCTGCGTAGTCGACGTCGGTGCGCAAAAGACGTCCATCGCCTGCGTGGAGGACGGTCTCTGCATCGAGGACTCGAGGATCAACCTCAAGTTTGGTGGGTTCGACGTCACCGAGACCTTCATCAAGATGATGCTCTACGACAGCTTCCCCTACCAGGAGATTAACCTTCGTGCGAACGAAAGCGTACGACTGTTCTATGTTGGTCGAAGAACTCAAGATGCAAGTACTGCACACTCTCGCAGGCCAACATCTCGGTCCAGAACTTTCGATTTCCACCTACGCGCCCCAAATCATGCCGAGACGCAAATATCATTTCAAGGTTCTACGACGAAGTGATCCTCTCGCCCATGGGGTTTTATGACCCGCCTACATTTGACAATTCCACCAAGCTTCGTGGTCGACGGAAATTAATCGACTGCTCTTATAACGCCTACGACGTGGAAGTCCCTGACGACCCGGCGTCGGCCGCCCAACTCGCGATCCTCGCTCTTATTCAACCGTCGGTTACTTCGACCACAACAACAGCAACAGCGGGTGCCAGCTTTGCCGGTGCACCAGACATGGCGACTCCCAGCAAAGAGCGCACCCAGCCCTTCAACTTCCTCTCCCAGAACGGCAATGCCACTGGCACACCCGGCACCTCCAAAGCCCCGTCTCCAGCCCCCGACGGCGCCAGCACTCCCGTGCCGGCCCCGTACGTCTTCGGCTCCTCCCGCGACCTCAACGGCAGCCCGGCGCCGAGCGCGCGCAACGGTGGCACACCCGCCCCGCCGAACGGCACTTCCGTCCTACCGGGTACCTCCTTCGACGGCCCGGCGCAGCCACAGGTGCAGCAGCGGTTCGGCCAAGTCGCTGGCGATCGAGCGCGACTCGGTGCTCCCGCTAGCGCCGCTCGACATCGCCATCATGACGTCGATCCAGAACGCAGCCAAGGGCGACGATAAGAAGGTCAAGGAGCTGCTGGGCAGCATCATGGTGGTGGGCGGCGGCGCCAAGATTCCGCACTTTGCGCCCTTCCTCGAGGAGAAGCTCAAGCTGCGCCGCCCCGACCTCGCCGACCGCATCCTGGTCAGCCGCAGCGCCCGCGAAATGGACGAGCAGGTCGTCGTGTGGAAGGGCGCTAGCGTGTTTGCCAAGCTATCGACGAACGACTCGTGGATTTCCGGGTTTGAGTATAAGATGCTCGGGGGCAGGGTCGTGTATCATAAGGTGCTTTGAGCAGTACTAGGTCTGTGTCTGTCTGTCTGTGGAGTAAGGGGTGGGAGTTTTGGGGGTTTGTGGCGTTGGGTGTGAGGTACCTGCTTACCTACTGAGGTATTTGGGAAGCTTGAATGAATACCGGAGTTCGTTCTTCTATTTGACGGGCTCCCCTTGATTGTGTTCTTTTTCTCTTTTTTTTTTTTTTTTGCGTCCATAGATCACACTTGGGGCTTGATATTGAGAACACCCAGACGAGACAGGACTCCCACCCTCGTGTTTAGAGAAATTGACCGAATTTCTCTCTACTTACTTGATAATCAATGTCCCTCGTGCCTCTTAACCTGCTCGTTACTGCCTGTACATTCTTATGGAGTCATAAACAAGAACAGAGAAGAAAATAAGAACGGAAACACTACGCAGGTTCCCCGCTGTGTTGTGGCACCTGTCTGGTTTCGAACCTCATACGTACGGGGTTTCTCACCATGGTTCTACGTTTGTCTATACCTAATATGTCAGTACCTTAATTGCTGGCTCTTCATCATCTCCTGCGTAACAGTGTTACGGCCGCCCCTGAAGCAACCGGCAACGACAACACGGCAGACCGGCGGGGCGGGGCGGGGCACTCACGCCGGGCAAGCCCACTAAAAAGACGGGGAGAGCTCCGAGGCTCCGCCTGGCTGGAGGGGTACTCCTGTTTCACCAATCAGTGTGATGGTGGGGTCCTCTGAAGGGCCCGTCTTCAGCTGTTAAAAGGCTGTGTGGTTTTGGAGGCCTGACTTGCCTGACTTGCCCGAACTTGGATTTGTGCAACACGCGACTGATCTCACCTGGTTTGAACGTACTGTAATCCGAATCACAGCAGGAAAATAAACCGACGTCACTTGCGGCCCGAGCTGACATCGATAACTCTCTCTCTCTTGTCGACTTGCTACTGACCGCTTAGGAGCCAACCCAACCCATCTTACACGATACGACCAGGTCCCAGATCCAGGTCTGAACACCATGGCAGGGTCAGCGACGGCCGGTCTACATCCGCTCCCGGACGGTACTCACCAAGCCGGCGGCGGGGTATCGGGGAAGGTGCACACGGTCAGAACTCTCAACGGCCCTGTCCTCGCTCACCTAGAGAAAGTCTACGCATCCCACGCCGGCGCCGACAAGCTTTGGAGCCCTGAGAAGGCAGCCGCCTTCCTGAAGGACACCCAGCGCGACACTGATGCCGAGCGCGCTCTTGAACTAAGCACGGGGAAGCCTTGGGATCTGAACGCCTTCCTCCGGTACATGACCTCGTCTATTACTCACGCCATCTCACCGCCTCACGAGGAAGATCTTTCGTGGCCGCTGTCTAGCTACTTCATCAGCTCGAGCCACAACACATATCTCACGGGCAACCAGCTGTCGAGCGACTCCAGCGCCGACGCCTACAAGAACGTGCTTCTACGTGGCTGCCGGTGCATTGAGGTCGATGTGTGGGATGGCGACGACTCCGACAACGAGGACGGCACTAGCAGCAGCAGCAGCAGCGATGATGGCGAGGCTGGGTCGTCCATACGGAAGCGAGGTCTCAGCAAGATGACGAGCAAGCTGCCAAAGTCTCTCACGAGTCGGCTGGAGAAGACAAGCCTGGGTAAGAAGCTCGGCAGGGTGGCGGCCATCAAAAGACTCTCCCGCTCATGGTCAAAAAAAGCAGGCAACACGACGACAACAACACCGACCGCTACAACTGAAGTGCCCGTCACGGCGAAGGACGGCCCGAACACGAGCCCGCCCGCGAGCCCGCTGAGGAAGATCACTAGCGTGAAGGAGCCAAGGGTCCTGCACGGGTACACGCTAACCAAGGAGGTGTCGTTCCGCGAGGTGTGCGTCGCCATCAGGGACTACGCCTTCGCCGTGACCGACACGCCGCTGATCGCCAGCCTCGAAGTCCACTGCAGTGCGGAGCAGCAGGAGACCATGGTCGCCATCATGCTCGAGACGTGGGGCCCATTCCTCTTGCCCGAGCCCAAGGAGGATGCCGCCCACCTGCCCTCCCCGGCCGAGCTGCGCGGCAAGATCCTCGTCAAGGTGAAGTATGCCCCGCCCGAGGGCGGCAGCCCGCTGGGGCCTGACGCCGAGGACGGGCTGTCGGGCGATGCGGCCGCGGCCAAGAGCAAGAAGCCGTCCAAGATCATCCAGGCGCTCAGCAAACTGGGCATCTACACGCGCGGCGTGTCGTTCAAGAGCCTGGAGCAAGCCGAGGCGACCATGCCGACGCACATCTTCTCGCTGTCGGAGAAGGGCGTGGTGGAGGTGCACCAGAAGAGCGCGTACGAGCTGTTCGAGCACAACCGGCGCTACCTCATGCGCACGTACCCCTCGGGCCTGCGCATCCGCTCGTCCAACCTCGACCCGGCCGTCTTCTGGCGCAAGGGCATCCAGATCGTGGCGCTAAACTGGCAGAATTGGGACGAGGGCATGATGCTCAACGAGGGCATGTTTGCCGGCACCAACGGATACGTCCTCAAGCCGGAGGGTAAACCCGCCCCCGCCATCTTTCTCTCCTCTCTTCTCATCAAGTGACTGACGTGCGGCAGGCTATCGCATGACCAAACACCTCCCCGCCCCGGCCACCACCGCCACCCCCACACCCGCCGCCAACCCGCAAGCCGTCGCCGTCCGACATTTCACCATGGACCTAACCATCGAGATCCTCGCCGCGCAATCCCTGCCTCTGCCCCCAGGCGACGACAACCCGTCCTCCTTCCGCCCCTACGTCAAGATCGAAATCCACGTCGAAGAGCCCGGCGAGCGGCACGGGGCGGGGCCGTCCGCCGACGCGGCCGTGCCCGCGGACGGGCGCGAGAAGGAGGGCGAGTACAAGGCCAAGACCAAGTCGCTCAAGGGGTGTGATCCGGATTTTGGCGGGCAGGTGCTGCGCTTTGAGGGGGTTCCGGGGGTCGTGCCGGAGTTGTCGTTTGTAAGGTTTTTGGTGCGGGATGATGAGGTGGGGAGGGACTCGTTGGCGGCGTGGGCGTGTGTGAGGGTGGATCGGTTGAGGGAGGGGTTGAGGTTTGTGCATTTGGTGGATGCGGAGGGGGTGGAGACCGAGGGGGCGGTGTTGGTGAGGGTGGGTGTGAAGTTGGTGTGAGGGGGGGTGGTTGGTTTGTGCTTGAGTGTTTGTGTTTACTCAGATAGGGTGGTGGTGGTGGTGTATCAAAGGTCGGTGCATAGCGACGGCATAGCGAGCGAGAACGGGAGCATGGCGGTCGAATTGTGTTGATATCAAATATGGGATCAGTCTTGTTGTAAGGTGTTATATGAGAGAGTTATGGCTAAAATATGACTTAGAACATTTATGAGAATCATATCTCTTGAGCTGTCGTTTTCTTCGCATTTTTGTCTATTCATGGTTCATGATGGAAGATGAAATCGGGACGGCTTGGCCCGAGACTGCCGGGATCATTGCCTGCCGGCCGCCGCCCGGCCGTGCCGACAAGAACTGTGGCTGGTGAAATGGCCCACTTAAATTCATTGCCGTCTCGAGGTGTTGCTTTGCGCCGCGACATCAACAACCCCCAACTTCTTATATCCTTCTCGGCCCTATATATCGATCCTCCCGGTATACAATGAGCAAGCCAGGCTTCTCCTTCGGTCTCAAAAAAGCGGGCGCCGCCAAACCGGCCCCCGCGCTCCGAAAACCAGCACCCTTCGGCGGAGGCGATGATGACGGTTCCGGAGACGAGTCTGCACCAACCAACGTAGCAAAAGTCTCAGAACTCAGCATATTCGACACACCACAGCCCGCAGCCTCCAACGACTCCCCTGACCGCAAGAAACCCAAAACCAAAAAGCCCCCCAAACCAACCAACGCCCTGCCACCCCCCGAAACCGACCAATTCACCGACCTCTCCAGCACGCTCACATCGCGCAAGCACGCCGCCTCCGCCGCGGCCGCCGACCCCTCCATCTACGACTACGACCTGGCCTACGACTCCTTCAAAGCCGCCAAAGCCGCCGCCACCGCGGACCCCGACACCGCCTCGACGGAGCCCAAAAAGCCGCGGTACTTCAACGCGCTGCTCAGCGCGGCCGACCTGCGCGAGCGCGACCGGCAGGTGGCCGAGGAGCGGCGGCTGCAGCGGGAGCGGGCAGCGGAGGGGGATGAGTTTGCGGATAAAGAGAAGTTTGTCACCGAGGCGTACCGCCGCCAGCAGGAGGAGAATCGGCGGCTGCAGGAGGAGGAGGAGCGGCGGGAGGAGGCAGAGAGGAGTCGGAATCGGGGGAGGGGTATGGCGGATTTTTATAAGGGCATGTTGGAGCGGGGGGAGAGGGAGCATGCGGTGCTGGTGAGGGCGGCGGAGGAGGGGGTCAGGAGGGCGGTTTGTAAGTGGTGAGGGAGGGGAAGGGGGAGAGGACAAAGGGGGGGAGGGAGAAGAGGAAAAGAGCGCGGCGGAACGGGCAAGGGAGATTAATGCGAAGGGAGGGAATGTGTTGGTTAATGAGGACGGCGAGGTCGTGGATAAGAGGCAGCTGCTCAAGGGCGGGTTGAATGTCGCGGCCAAGAAGAAGGTCGAGGTGCAGAAGGAGAGGGAGAGGCAGGCGCAGGCGGCTGCGAAAGCCGGACCCGCGGCGCAGAGTAAAGGGGTGTATGCGGCGGGCGGAAAGCAGGCGATGCGCGAGCGCCAGACGAGGATGCTGGAGGCGCAGCTGGAGGAGACGCTCAAGCGATCGAGGCAGGAGGAGGAGGAGGAGGCGGCCAAGGTGCAGCTCGCGAGCAAGAGCAGGAAGACGGAGGCCGACATCTCGAGCGCCAAGGAGAGGTATCTGGCGAGAAAGAGGGCGGCGGAGGAGGCGAAAAAGAACGGAGCGGAGGGTCCATAAAACGGGGGCCCTATTACCTTGTGTGTTTCTAAATGATACCCGGGACCGTCTATTATACCAATGGTATACCGCCAGCCGGCCCTAACCCAATATCTTCGTGGATACCTGCCATACCGGTATATGCGTACAAACCCCTACCCTACCCCCTCCTGCCTTCTATCTCCTATCATACAACTCCAACCTCCAGGATCGTCAAAGCCGTAGTAATACCGTACAACGCCGAGCCGCCTTAGGAAAGGTTCTGGTTGCCAATCTCCTGCTGTATCCTCCGGATGTAGGTCGCATTGACCTCGTTCCACGCCGCCATGTACTTCTCCATGCACGATGTCAGGCACGTCTTCTCGCCGCTTGAGAGGGAGCTTCCTGGCTTGGGGACGCAGCGTTCGAAGCACTTCTCGTTGATGTTCTGGAAAACGTGTAAGCATCGAGTGACAATCGACAGGGAAAGCTGGGAGAAGCCGGTTGAATGCGGGGGGGTGATTTCGGGTTTTATGTACCTCGATCAGCGTCCGGGCGTTCGCCGTGTTGGTCGCCTGCAGCGCTTGCTTAATGATGGCCTTCTTAACCGAGTCGGAGTCCATGGTTGCGGTTTGGCGGGTAGAGTGTGGCTGGATGTTCCGAGATAAAGTCGCGGCTTGTGGTTTGAGGATGGAAAAGTTCCCAAGCTGTGGCGCATGCGTCTTGCAGATGAGGCTGGTGCGAAACTCGAAAAACGTGGAGAGGTGGAGCTCCATCCGCGCTGGACAGGGGTAGCTCAGCCAATGCTGGGACCAATGGCTCGGCGCCAGCTGCACTCGGTGGCCGGCTGAAAAGGCCAGCTAAGGTAATCCGTTCAGTCAGGGCCTCGAGATGCTTGCTGCATTGCAGCCTTCGAACCACCCACCACAAGCTCCAGTCGGCTGAGCGTTCCGCGCGGTCACACTATCCTACGCACTCCTTCGGATTTTTTTTTCGTTTCCCTTCTTGTCCCTGTTTGCAACCTTGGCTGCGGCCTTTCTAAACATCTCGCACGAACCGTTTCCTTCCCCTTTTCTCTTTCTTTCTTTTCGAAAACCAGCCAAGAATCGATCCCCCCATTCGATACCCGGCGCAATGTTGAAATCGACGCTCTCAGCCTTGTGGCTGGCCACTCTTGCCTGGGGCGCGGGCAAAACGGAGGAGAACAATGTCAAGAGCATAGGGGTGCGCTGCTACGTGCTGTAGTCTACCTAGTCATGGGCAATGTTGCTGACAGTTTTCTTGTCTAGCTACGGACACACAGTCTGGCCCAGGTACGCATCTATGCGCTGCACCGCTACCACGTCGAATTGAGCTGACCTTTATATCCAGCCGTATCTGGACTCTGACATGCAAAGTCGGTGGTACGACTTTGGTGGCGACACCATCATCCGCACCGACCAGTAATTGCCCCTTTTTGTGACGCGACCCCAAGTTTCCAGGCGACATCTAATGCTTGTTGATCGCAGGTACATCCGCCTGACCTCCGATCACCCATCACAGACCGGATGGCTCTTCTCCAGGGTCCCATTGACGGCGACGAACTGGGAGATTGAGGTGGAATTCAAGATCCACGGCAAGAACCAGTTGTATGGCGACGGCTTCGCCATGTGGCTGACGAAAGGAGCGTGGGAAGGTCGGCCCCGTGTTCGGAAGTGCCTGACCGTTTTGGAGGGATTGGGCATCTTCTTCGACACATATAAGAACAAACAGGCCCGGTGTCGTTTTCCCTTACGTCATGGCTATGGTCGGCGACGGACAGAAATCGTACGACAAGGACACGGACGGCAAGGACACCGAGTTTGCCGGCTGCTTCGCTAGAGGCATCCGACACGCCAACGTCCCGACTAAGCTCCGTCCTGACTTACTTCCAGGACAAGAACCTCAAGCTGGAGCTGCAGTACAAGTCCGAGGGCGAGTGGACGCTCTGCTTCGAGACGGACAAGCCGCCCTCGATCCCGCAGGTTGCCTACCTGGGCTTCAGCGCCGAGACGGGCGAACTGAGCGACCACCACGACATCATCTCGATCGAAGCCAAGAACCTGTACCAGTCTCAGTCTACGAGCGGGAAAGGCACCCCCGGCAGCAGCAGGGGCAAGAAGGCGACCCCGAAGGAGAGCGGCAGCTGGACCTGGTTCTTCATGAAGACCATCTTCTTCTTCATGGTTGTTGGTGGTGGCTATGTGGGATATACTGCCTGGAGGACGAACCAGAAGCGGAGCCACCGTTTCTAAGACTGGCACGTTTAGGTGAGGAGTGGCGCTTGAAGGGTGGAATTTTGACGAGTATACACGGCCAGAAAACAAAACAAAAGATACCATATCCATCCGCCTTCTGGCTGGTAAGGGGCGATGCGGTTTCGTTCCTTGCGTCAAGCCAGTTTGGGGGCGAATTCACTTACTCATGCATGTATCAGTAACATCTCTTGGGTCTGGGGCGGAGTTTAGCATCTCTACAGCGGCTTCCTTTTATGTTTCTGCTGATTGAAAGCCCCCTTTTCCGTGAATCACGAGTCAAAAGGGGTCCTATGACACTTTGATTGTTTGACCCTTGTAGGGCTCGCACTCTATGCCCCAGCGATCGAGGGGCGCTGAAGAAAGTGCCCCCCGCTATGCCCGTCGCGCGAAGCGGCCCGGGCTGAACCGATCGTCGGGCTATGACGATGCGAACCGGACAACAGCGTCAAGATCGATCAGGGGCTAACCCCTGCTCCGAGTACTTCATTACCCCACATCGAACCCCTCCTCGATGAATCGACTCCAAGGCCGCACCTGGCGAAACCTTCGAAGCCTAAACATCAGTAACTGCCTAGAACATTGGGAATTGTATTTGCATTGACAACTGGCACATGCACAGCTGACCAGCCCCGTATGCAGGCTATGCAGGCTATGCAGGATGGGCTAGATCAAGAATAGCTGGCAAAAATGTTAAGACAAAGCAGCAAAAGCGGCTCCAGTCGCAGCACCACACCAGGTCCCGGCAGTGCGTGCCAAGCTAGCGGGAACAATGGGCCGGCGTCCGCTCCACAGGGGTCCCCGCCGCCAGCTCCAAGCTCTGTTTGGTTGCTGCCCACCTGTGCGCTGTGTGGGTGCTGAGCTCCCAGGCTCCCCTTCAACTCGAAGCGGGCAGCGCCTCTCAGACGCAAACCTCAGCAATTCCTCAGCAGCGAGTCCCATCCGCCGTTTCTGACCGGGCACTCGTCATTTCTCGTCCCTCCATTACCCATTCTTACCTAAGTTTCTGCTTCGTAGTAGTTACCACCACTTTCATCGAGAGCCTGCTGCATCGTGGCCGACTGCGTTCCTCATCCGCATTCGCATTCCCCGCCGTTCCCTCGGTAAAAAAGAATTGGGCTGCAAGCAGAGAGAGAAAGTGCAAGACTTTCTCTGACCTCAGACCTCCAGATCGGAGACTGCGGTCTGCGAGTTACGGGTTGCGGATTACGGACTCCTAATATCCATCCCTTAAATACCTCGGGGACGTCTTTCTTCTCTTTCATGACCTTCTTGCAGCGACCTCTCGACCTGACGAAATCCATTGGTCCGTTTTCTCTCTTTGTGCTGCCGCTGTAAGCAATTCTCCCTCCACCAGCCGCTCGCGGAGTTGCGTGGTGCAGCCCCGTTCGCCAGTACCCGGCGGTGGACATCGTTGTCTATCTCCTCCCCTGCCGTTCGTTGCGGCATCCTACCGGCAACCTACCGTCACCGGCCTTAACCTGACCGCCGCAACGCTCCGTGATATCATCGACTTCCCGCAGGTCCCCCCTACCGCCCGACGCCCGGCGCCCTTCCTTCAAGACGACACCAGGAAACAGCCACCGTTCCCTCTTACCCAAACTTCCGACGTCTAGCGCACCATACTGCCCCAAATCCCTCGGACGAACACCATCGGCTCATTGGCCCGCGGTTTAATTACTGTGCAGCTCTTCGTCGCAACGGCTTCGTCAGTCTTCCCTTCTTGGACGCGCGCTTGTCCAATTAGAAGGACTGATACCACTTGGGTCAACCATCTCGTCGAAGCGCGTTGATGCACGCTCTCGGCTTCCTGAGGAGGAAACGGACCAGGGACGGCAATCCGGGCCATTCGTCGTCAAGCAATCCGACGAGCCCCGTAACACCGACAGGAAGCAGCTTCGACCAATCCTCCGTGCCTCGCGGCTCTCGCTCGAGCGCGGCGTCGCAGTCCACACACCGCCCCTCGGTGACTGCTACTCCTCAGAACAAGCCGGCCGAACCGGCGGCTGAGCAGCAGCAACCTCAGCAGCAACCTCAGCAGCAACAAGCACAAGCACAGCAGCAACCAATGAATACCCTCTCGCCGCAACCGCCCTACGCGGTGGCGCAACACACCCCCCTCTCCCGGTACCGATCCGCAGAACGGTGCCGCCGCATCTCGAATTTGATCAACCCCACTCAGGTTGATGGGAGCTGCTGGCCTATCCACAGCACCAAGGAGGGCAATATGCGCAGTACTCGAACAATGGCGGAACGGCCTCAAACCATCCCCAAATACAACACCAGCAACAACAACAACCCCAACTCCAGCAGCCACAGCAGGTACAGCAGCCGCAGCAGGTACAGCAGGCCGCAGCAGGTACAGCAGCCGCAGCAGGTACAGCAGCCGCAGCAGGTACAGCAGCCCGCAGCAGCAGGCACAAGCAGCAGTATCAGCGCAGAGCGAGACGCGGGTCACCAAGGGAAAATTACTCGTTTGGCGGACTTTGAGCTTGTTGTAGGATCGCTAGGTACCCGGTAGTTTCGGTCAGGGTACACTTGGTGCAATTCGCGGCACAACCACCCGGTTTTATGCCATCAAGGTGCTCAAGAAGGGCCCAAGTGGGTCATGATGAAACAGATCGAGCCACACCAACGAACGAACGCAGAATGCTGGGCGAGGTCAAGCACCCGTTTCCTTATCACATTGTGGGGGCACCTTTTCAGGATTCCAAGAACTTGTACATGGTGATGGACTTCGTCGAGGGCGGCGAGCTCTTTTCGCTGTTAAGGAGGTCAGGGGTAAGTTGGGAACGGCCCCGAGGGTGGGCAAATGCACGGGCTAACGGGCGTGGTAGCGCTTCCCGAATCCCGTGGCCAAGTTCTACGCTGCCGAAGTCACGCTGGCTCTTTGAGTACCTGCACTCGCGCAACATCATCTACCGCGACTTGAAACCGGAAAACCTGCTACTTGACCGGCCACGGCCACCTCAAGATCACCGACTTTGGTTTCGCCAAGCGGAGTGCCAGACAAGACATGAACGCTCTGCAGCACGCCAGGACTATCTCGCACCTGAAGGTTGTTTCTAATAAGGGCCTATAACAAAATCGGTGGACTGGTAAGTTGTGTCGAGCCCACACGCTCACACCCTTTCCAAAGAAGAAAAAGAGAGAGAGAGAGAAAAAAGCAAGAAAAAGAAAACTAATACACACGGCGCGCACAGGTGGTCCCTCGGCATCCTGATCTACGAAATGCTCTGCGGGTACACGCCCTTCTGGGATAGCGGGTCGCCTATGAAAATCTATGAGAACATATTGCGCGGCAAGGTCAAGTACCCGGCGTACGTTAACCCGGACGCGCAGAACCTGCTCGAGCGACTCATCACGGCCGACCTTACGAAGCGCCTCGGCAACCTGTATGGCGGGTCGCAGGACGTCAAGAACCACCCATGGTTCGCCGAGGTGACGTGGGACCGCCTGGCCCGCAAGGATATCGACGCGCCATACTCTCCCCCCGTGCGCGCCGGCGCTGGCGATGCGAGTCAGTTTGATCGGTACCCGGAGGAAACGGAGGGATATGGCCAGGTGGGAGGTCATGATGAGTGAGTTGGCCTTTTTTTTCTTTGTGTTTTCTCTTTCATCTGGGGACGCGAGACTAACCAAGTCACAGGTACGGGCATATGTTCCAGGATTTTTAAGGCTGCTGCTACCTATTGATGTCGGATCGAAGAGACACTTGCTTGGATCCTGTGCTTGAAACGAAACCAAAAGGGGGTTGGGAACCTGGAGAGAAGAACCCTGCGGAGAGAGAGCAAGAGAGTGTGGTCCCTGGAAACAGAATCATACCAATATCACTTCGCCCTGGAGCATTCTTCTATACAACGCAAACGCTACCGAGGAGCATGGTTTATCGGCGCTGTACTGGTTGGTTATTGGGGTAGCAGGACATGATGAATAGGATAGGGTAGGACAGGGGTGGGAAGGCAGTGTGGCAAGGTCTGGGTTCGGCACTTTGGGTAGGTACCTTACCTACGGATGTGCTACGAAACGCGGTTTGTAACTCTGTCCTGGGTCATCTTCCTGCGTGGGTTTGGTCTAATGGTTTTCTCTGAATTTGCATGACTGGCGTTTTTTGTCCAATTCTTTCTCTCACCCCTGTGAAATCGCTCCGGCCCGACCTCCCCTTCTCCACTTCAACCATCGAAGGCTAGCCGAGCGGGCGGGAGCTAGGAGACGAGCTAACCTTATTTCAGCTTGGCGGGGAGGAGGTTCGGTCGGTGCTGGGATGAATGTTCGGACATTCTTTGGCCCTGCGGGAACCTGGGAAAGGGTATCCCTCTCAAGCATGTATAGATTTTGATCTGATATTCCTCAAAATGAAATGGAGCGTTGTTTTCGAAAGACTAAAACGTTGAACGGTGTGCTTTCTCAGTGTTTGATGTTTACAGGCGGTGACCGCCGAAGAAGAACGAGGGTGCGCCCAGCCACCAGTAATTGGCCCTGTTGGTGGTGAGATGCCCACTCTTTCTGGTGGGCTCGGCGGTGCGAATCGGCGTCGCATGAGGGGGTTTTCGTACTGCCTGCTGTTTTATACAGTGTTTATGGGATGCACACTGTACCAACTCAACCGTGTTTTTCGTGACTTTATACTACAAGTGGAATAGTCCGCACGGTATGCAGAAGCCGGCGGTACTTGCCTGAACTGGATCTTCGGGTCGCATCGATAGAGGCCGCCCGGGGGAGACGGTGGCTGGTCGGCTGCAAGAATTGCATATGGACGGGGAACAGCAATTGATTTTCATGCTGGCGGAGTTGTGAGAATTGAGTTGGAGGTTTAATCTTTTCACTTTCTACTGCGTGGTTTGAGACGAGCCATTGACGTTGAGGCACAAGTTGAGAAAAGAGTAAAACAAACGTCAAAAAAGAATAATTAAACCTACCTCGGTGACACGGTGAGCGGTGATACGGTGAGTAACCTCCAATCTCGTTGTTGTCGATCCAATTGTATGCTTACACATTTTGATTTAGGTAATTAAAGCGGTGCTGGACAATATTCTTCCATCTCCATCTAGAGCAGGTCGATTTTGAGAGACCAAGAAAGGAGGGAGTTCAGCTGCTGAGAGCATCCATTCCTTGTAACACAGCCTGTTCAATAACCAGAACTACCAAGGTGTGGTCAGAGGGACTCTTGTACATACTATTCTACTATTCCAAGTGTCAGGGTATAGGGATAGGGATAGGGGGAGGAAAAGACATGGACGACTACATGTTCCGGTCGTATGTGACCGAGTTCAAGTGCGTTCAGGAAGAGACCAGCTATCTCGAGATCTTCAATTACTCGGTGAGCTGGTTACCTTGGTTTTTGGGACTTCGTTGGAGCTGTTACTAACAAAATTTTCGCTCTAGGATCCCTCGTTCAACACCTCTGAGGAACACCGCTTCCGCTTCGATGAGCTTCCCGATGAGTTTGGTAACTTCTTGCACCGAAGGGTCAGTCCCGGATCCTCAGTCCCGCCGCACACCCGGTCTAACAGCATCTAGGGAGCGTTTGCCCCCCCCAAACTACGCCCAGGCGTCGAACTGGTCGGCGGCATGCGGTTGATGTGAGTCGCTATGAGATGGGAACCACCGGAGAGACAGATAGCTAACACCCGCCGCCCATTCCAGCCTCCAACAAAAGGCACAGCACCCCGAGACCTTCACGCCTAGCTATCTGTCCCTATCGCACCAGGCATACGAGGAGATGGTGCGGACCTTGCATCTCCCGTTCCGCGCCATCGAGGGCACAAGCGCCGTCGGTCCCTTCTTTTGGGCCGCCTTTGACCAAGACGACGAAGACCCGCATCTACGTAGGACCCCTTTTTATTTGTTGACACGTGCCCCTACTAACATCAGCAGAAATCATCTTCCGCAAGTCCGACGTCCGCAAGAAGGGCAAGACGCGCGGGTGGGAGCTGATGCTGTCGCACTCGTTCCGCACGCACATCACGTCGGGGTTTGCCAAGGGGACGGCGTCGTCCGACATGGTGGAGAGCATCAAGCACCTGCGGGCGTGCGCGGCCCAGATCCTGCACCCGCTGCTGCTGCCGACCATCATCCTCAGCCACGACCTGTCCATGAAGAACGACCAGAAGCAGCGCAACGCCCGCCAGTGGCTGCGCGACCTCGAGACCGCCGTCAGCATGCGCTCCGAGGTGCTCGAGGAGGAGAACAAGTACATCCGCGGCACCATGATCGACCTCGACCAGATCAACATGGACCTCGTCGAGTGCCACTCGCAGGTGCTGTGGAAGCGGCCCCAGGCCTACCAGGAGATCATCAGGGGGGTCTGCCAGGCGATGGACCGCTTCTGGGAGAAGGCGAGGGACGACGAGGCGTACGGGGGTAAGGGAGGGGAAGGGTGGATAAGCTGCACCGGAGCATGCTGGCGCGGCTGGACTTTTACCAGGCCAAGCTGAAGGGGATCGAGAACTACGCACACATTACGCTCGAGCGGCTGACGATTCAGCGGGCGGCAGTGAGTCTCTTTCCGTTTCTCTTTTATCCCTTCTCCAATTATTCTTCCTCTGTTTGCACCATAACCATCCACATCACACCCAACAACAACCATAACAAACACTAACCCGCACCCCCCCACCCCCCAGCTCTACAACATTATCGCGCAAAAAGAATCCAAACTCGGCCTCACCATGGCCGGCGAGCAACGACGCCTCGCCCACGCCTCCAAGCGCGACAGCACCTCGATGAAGATCCTCTCCCTCCTCGGCGCCATCTTCCTCCCCGCCACCTACCTAGCCTCCATCTTCGGCATGACCTTTTTCAACTTTGTCCCCCGACGGCGGCAACGACCCCCCCTCACCTCCCACCACCACCGGTACCGGCACCACCCACCCCCCCAAACACCGCAACCCCCCCACCGTGGAACCCCGTCTCCCCCCTACTATGGATTTATTTCGCCATCACCATCCCCCGTGACGCTCATCATCGTGGTGTGCTGGCGGTGGTGGAACCGGCGGCGAGAGGCACAGTATGCGAAGGAGGACCGGGACGTGGAGGAGAGGATCGAGAAGATGGAGGCGCAGATCATGGCAACGATGAGAAAGCGGACGATGAGCAAGATGCGGACGTGGGAGGTGGGGAAGACGTGATGCGGGGGGGGGGCTTTGTTGTTGTTGTCTCTGGTTTGGTGTTTTAAGGTTGGGGGGGTAGAGGGGGGGTTGGTTTGGTGGTTTTTTTGGCGGAGGCGGGATGGGGGAGGGGAAGAAGGAAAGAAGGGAAGGATGGAAAAGAGATTGGCTCAGCACTTTTGTTTGGATGGGGCGTTTATTTCTGTTTTGCTCTTCATGGCAACACAAAGAGCGAGCAGCTTGTGCCGCCGACGATGAGATGACGATATGATTACGAGTTACGACTGGCGATGATAGAGGGCGCTGTATCGTATATGGCGTACAGTTGTATACAAGCTCTTAAATAAATACCTGGGTGTCATATTAAGTTACTTCTCTTGAAGCCCCTGAAATGGACCAGAAATTGGAGCCGATCATGTATGTTCATCAGATTCAAAATAGCGACCAAGATGCAGAGCCGAGTTTCCAAGCCTCGCGCCAGATACTCCCAACCATCTAATGCGCTAGGTATCTATGCCTCTACTTTTATAATACAACCCCTGATATCATACACCATACACATCACATCATACACTAAATCAGCGCTTGCCCCATAAACATGCTCTCCTTCACTTCCGAGACGACGTCTCTCCGATCGTCCTTGCCCACCAACACAACTCCCCTGCCACGCCTCCCCATACGGCCAGCCCTGCCCAGCCGATGAATAAAATCGATCGTGGTGTGCGGCACATCATACAGCACCACGTGTCTGACGGCCAACGTATCAATACCCCGCGACGCCAAATCCGTGGCCACGATAACCTTGGTGTTTGCCAGGTGCCTCTTGCTGACGCCGCCCGCCTTGGCCAGGGCGGCTTGTTTGTTCGCCTCGACCTCGGCCTTGGACAGGCGCATGGGCTCGGTGGTGGTGAAGCTGTTCAGCATCTCGCTCTGGCGGTGCTCGGGGGTGTCGCGGTGCAGGGCGATGGCGTCAATGCCCTTGGACACCAGGGTACTCGGCCACCTCCTGGGTGGTCTCGCGCTCGTTTGACAAAGACCATGATGCGCTTGACGTCAATATCGGTCCTTGTCGGCACTCTCGTGCAGGGAGGCGTCCTTGCCGATGGTCCAGATGGCGTCGGCACAGGCGAGCCAGCTTGTTGTTGGCGGTAAGGGGTCCTTGGACACGTCGATGACGCCGAGCTGGACGCGGCGCGGGATCGCGTGCAGGTTGGGGGTGGCGATGCGCACAATGTTGGGGAAGTGCGCAGCCAGGTAGTTGTCGAGGCGACGCGGGATAGTGGCGGAGCAGAGAATGAGTTGCTTGAGCGAGGGCATCGCGCGCTCCACGATCTTGGAGGTCTCTGGGGCGAAGGAGCGGTCGAAGAGCGAGTCGGCCTCGTCGATTGACGAGGTGGTGCACACGCGAGAGGATATTAGGGTCACTATGCGCCATGTCGGCGAGAAGATGCGGGGTGGCAACGACCATGTCGATGCCGCCGTGGCTATACATGTTGCGCTGGATCTTGCTAGGGGTGTGGTTGGACGAGAGGGAGCGGACTTTGATCTTGGCCACGTGGGAAATTCTTTTTCGAGGCGGCGAGCACCTGGTCGACGAGCTCAGATGTCGGGACCAGCACGATGGCGCGGGGGCGGGCATGGTTCGGGTGCGGCTCGAACTTGTCGATCCATTCTGACACCGGGGTCCCACCGCGGCGCTCCTTCTCGGCCTCCAGCCGCACGTTGTATGCCTTCGCATCCACATCGTCGGCCTCGGCCACCTTGAGGGCGTTGATGATGGGCAGCAAGTACGCCAGCGTCTTGCCAGACCCGGTCTCGGCAGCCAGGAGGAACTCTTCTCTTTTCGACTCCGGCGCCGCCCTGCGGTGGTTTGTCTCCCTCTGTTGCCCGATGCGCTGTCCGAGCAGGGCCGGGATGGCGAGCCTCTGTACCGGTGTCGGTTTCACACCCACCATGCCCTTCAGGACTTCGTTGTAGACACCTTCTTTCACGGCCCGGTAGTAGATTGAACTGGTCGAAGGATTCGATGTCGGAGATACGGGCCTTGACATTGACACGTTCGCGGTAGGCGATGCTGGTGAGGGCGCGCTGCATCTTGAGAGCCTTGAAGCGGTTATCGTCTCTGTTACGCGACGCACCCGGGTGTCTCTCTCTAGTGTCTCTTGTGTCCCTATCGCGTGTGCCTCCGTCTCGTTCCTGTGTAGACCCTGGAGGTCGTCGTCGGCGGTCGCGATCGACATTGGCGACGGTCCGGTTGGCGCCTGCCCAGGGGCCATCGGGCCTATCGCGGGGCCTCCTGGGAGCATCTGTTCGAGGCCCACGGGCGACGCGGTCGGACAACACCATGCGGGATGGGCGTTCTCTAGTGGCGTCTCTGCGCATTGCGAAGCTGCGCTGGCTGATCCATGGCTGCGCCGACTCCAGGAGCGCAGTCCTGGGTTGTGCTGCCGAACGACATAACAAGCATACAGAGCCGCGAGCTGCCCTCCACATGGTCGCGGATAGGGTCTCGAAATGTTGGAAATGGTGGCTGCTGAGGGAACAAGCGGGACGAAAATTAATCTGGGAATCGACTATTCTGCCACCTTCTACCGCTCTCTTTTAGTGGGACATTAGGGGTTTTGGCGGAAGCAACCTAACAGACTCGGAAGGCGGTGAGAGTGGGGTGGGTGGGGGCTTGCGGTCTTTTGTTGACGAGATGTTTCCACCAAGAGCGGGCATGCAAGTCAGATACAGAGTTGCAGATAGATAATGGGCAACCATTCGCTAACCAACACATCGGACTAATTCGATCGTATTCGATAAGATATACAACCAAGACAACCAAGACAACCACAAAATATCCTCCGAGCCCACCAAGACCAAACCGGATGGCTGGGAGGCTGATTCCAGGGTTGAAGATCTGCAACCGACGCAAGAAATACTGAAAACCCCACAGCTGCAGCGAATTAATCCATGCTTGCAGGTGATGCCGAGGCGAACGAGAGGTCACGCTGTGCACCTCAGCGCTACCTACCCGCATGCATTATGACGATGCTGTCTTTCGGCTCATGCCGAGTCTAGTCTCGAGGTGCGAGTGAGTGAAGTACCTACCTACCTAAAGCCTTGGGGTAGTGAGGCAGCCCATGGATGAGACCAATTTACTGCTGTGTGGTAACTATACTCTACCTATTCAAGATATCACTCTGCCTCTCTTTCATGCACCCGCGCATCCTGATCGACTTGATCATCCACCAGGCCTTGAATCACTCCATCAACTCCATCAGCTCCACCCATTTTCCATCTCTCCGTCGCGAGGTGATCCCTGCACCCGCAAGCGCGTCGGAGAGGACCCCGCGGTGTGTTTGGCGAAAGATTGCGCATAGCTTCGGGACTTTTTCCCATTCACCTACTTGAACTTTCCTTGCTGTGTAGATATTTCCCATCTTCCCATTCCCAAGAAATATCCCCGGTCGCACTCTATCTGGTCACTCTCATCACAAATGGGTTCTCGAAACCCGACGAACTGGGACCAGTATGAGCGTGGGGGCGTCTCTCGGACCGGCAGTGTCTCCTCGTTCGGTAACCGGAGCGCCCAATATGAAAGCGACTCTCTTCTAGGCCGCAGCACCGGCTCCAACCAAGACGATGGCGAGTGGACGCAACATCTCCGGCGTAGAAGGTACCTAGACTCCATCACTTCGCCCCTTGAAACCCATCAAAGATAACTAACACTGTCGCCCTGCTCCCAGATCCTCAGTAACCAACCGTCTCGCGGCCCTCACCGACATCGGTGGCGTCAACAGCATCCGCTCCTTCACCCGCAGCTGGCAACGCGCCGCAGGCTTCTCCGAAGTCATCCCTCAGCGCCCCTCCTTCGTCTTCGCCCCAGACCAAGCCCCCATCGCACCCCCGCCAGACGATGCCGCCGCCGGCGATCTGTCGCCCTACTCCCAACAACAGCGCGATATCGAGACCGGCACCGGCGGCTCGCCATCCCTCATCCGCCAGCACCTCGAAGCCGCCTTCCGCGCCGGCGAGCAGCACCCCCCGCGCCACGACAGCCCGGAACCAGGCGCCAGCATCAGCGCCAGCCACGGCTCCCTCCTCCACCGCTCCTCCATCAGCGACTCGCGCGAGGGGAAATCCCTCGACGGCAACGGCAGCGGCAGCGACCCCGACCTCCTCCCGTCCATCTTCCGCATCGGCAGCCACACCACGACCGCCTCCGCCGGCGGTACCTCCATCTTCGCTATCCCGCCCCACCTGGCCACCCCGCCACTCGTGGGCAGTTACCGGTCGCTGGTGTCCGGCCTGGATTATGGCACCGTCCGCTCTGATGTGAGCGGTGGGGGAGGTGGTGATATGGCGCACGCCGCTGCCTTGTGGCGCCAGCAGCAGGAGGCCGGGGGAAATGTGCCTGACGGGGAGCTCCCGCCCATATTGGTCAAGGAGGTGGAGCAGGATGGGAAGTTTGTGTTGGCTGTGGAGGGGCAGTCGACGCTGCCGCAGACGGTGTTTAACTCGACCAATTATGCTTGTTGGGTCAGACTTTTGGATGCTTTGGTGTTGGTTGCTGACTGGTGAAAATAGTGTTTTGATTGGGGTTGGTCTGCTGAGCCTACC